CAGGATTTCTAATTTGTTGTCAACTGAGGATTTGTAATTTGTTCTTTTTCTATTTTTTTTAGTTGTACACTCAATTCATTGATCTGTTCTTTCTCTATTTTGTTGAGATAAGAATTTAGAGAAATAAATTTTCCCATAAGTACTACTTTGGCTGTATCCCATAAATTTTGGGATGTTGTCTCATTGTTGTCATTCTCTTTAATAAAATTATTGGTTGTTTCTATGATTTGTTCTTTGATCCACTCATTCTTTAGGATTAGATTATTTCGTTTCCAATTAATTTTTAATCTATCTTTCCACTGCCCTTTGTTGAAGGTAATTTTTATTGAATTATAATCCTAAAAGAATACATTTCGTATTTCTGCCTTCCTACATTTGATTTTGAGGTTTTTATGCCCTGATACATTGTCAAGTGTTGTGTAGGTGCCATGTGCTGCTGAGAAAAAGGTATATTCCTTTCTGTTCCCATTCAGTTTTCTGCAAAAGTCTGTCATATCTAACTTTTCTAATATTCCATTCACCTCCTTAGTTTCTTTCTTGTTTCTTTTTTGGTTGGAATTATCAAGTTCTGAGAAGGGATGGTTGAGGTTCCCTAATAGTATAGTTTTCCTGTCTATTTCTTTCTGTAGCTCACTTAACTTCTCCTTTAAGAATTTGGATGCTATTCCACTTGATGCATATTTATTTGGTATTGATATTACTTCATTGTCTATGGTACCTTTTAGCAAGATGTAGTTTCCTTCCTTGTTTCTTTTAGTTAGGTTTATTTTTGTTTTTGTTTTGCATGAGATCGTATTGCCACCCCTGCTTTTTTTCCCCCTCAACTGAAGCATAAAAGATTCTGCTCCAGCCCCTTACTTTTACTCTCTGTGTGTGTCTCTCTGCTTCAAGTGTGTTTCTTGTAAACAACATATTTTAGGATTCTAGTTTTTAATCCTCTCTGCTATCTGCTTCCATTTTATGGGAGAGTTCATCCCATTTATATTCACAATTATGATTGGTTAACTGTGTATTTCCGTCCCTCCTATTTTTCCTCCTGTTTTCCTCTCTCTCCTCTTACCCTTTCTCTCCTTGACAGTGTTTTGCTTCTATCTACCATCTTCCCTGGTCTGCCTCTCTTCTGTCAATACCCATCCCCCCTTTATTTAATCACCTCGCCTGCTACTTCCCTATAGAGTGAGATAAATTTCTATATTCAACTGATTGTGTATATTGTTTCCTCTTTGAGTCAATACTAATGAGAGTAAAGTTCAAGTGATCTCCGTCATCCACCTTCCCATCTTTCCCTCCACTGTAATAGGTTTTTCATGCCTCTTGATGTGAAATAACTTACCCCATTCTACCTGTCCCTTCCTTCTGTCCCCAGTGTGCTGCCCTCTTTCATCCCTTTATTATTTTTTCTGCCATTCCCTCAAGTTTATCCTGTACCTACACCCTCTCTCTATGTATATTCCTTTCAGGTGAACTGTTGGTGGTGTAATTTTTAGAATTACTTGCATCTAGGTGTGTGTCCCAGAGAGGTCATAAAAAAGAGAAAAGGACCCACACAAACAGAAATATTTACAGCAGCTCTTTTTGTGGTAGCAAAGAATTGGAAATTGAGGGGATGTCCTTCAATTGTGGAACGGCTGAATAAATCGTGGCATATGAATGTAATGGAATACTGTTGTTCCATAAGAAGTGATGAGCAGGCAGATTTCAGAAAAAACCTGGAAAGACTTACATGAACTGATGCTGAGTGAAGTGAGCAGAACCGGGAGAACATTGTACACAGTATCAGCAACATTGTGCGATATCCAACTCGGATAGACTTAGCTCTTCTCAGCAATGCTGTGATCTAAGATGATTCCAAAAGACTCGTAATGGAAAATGCTATCCACATCTAGAGAAAAAACAATGGAGTCTGAATGAAGATCAAAAAATACTATTTTCTCTTTTTTGTGTGTTTTTCTCTTTTGTTCTGATTCTTCTTTCACAACATGACTAACGTGGAAATATGTTTAATATGATTGCACATGTATAGCCTATATCAGATTACATGCCGTATTGGGGAGGGAGGGAAGGAGGGAGGGGGAAAACTTAGAATTCAAAACCTTACAAAAGTGAATGTTGAAAACTAAAAAGATATAAATTTAAAAATTTTTTTAAAAAGAATTACAAATATCATCTTCCCATGTAAAGATGTACAGTTCAGCTCCATTGAATCCCTTATGTTTTCTTTTCCTTTTGTTTTTACCTGTTTATGCTTCTCTTAGGTCTTGATATTGGAGATCAAATTTTTCTTCAATTCTGATCTTCTGTTTACGAAAGTTTGAAATCCTTCTATTTCATTGAATGACTGTTTTTCCCCTTGAAGTATTATACTTTCATCAAATAGGTGATCCTTGGTTGCAGTCCTAGCTCTTTGCCTTCTAAAACATCATGTTCCATGACCTCTGATCCTTAATGTTGCAGCTGCTAAGTCCTGTGTAATCCTGATTGTGGTTCTCTGATATTTTAACTGTTTCTTTCTGGCCACTTGCAGTACTTTTTCCCTGACCTGATAATTCTGAAATTTGGCTATAATGTTCCTTGGGGTTTTTATTTTGAGATCTCTTTCCTGAGGTGATTGGTGGATTCTTTCAGTGCCTATTTTGCCCTCAGGTTCCAGGATACCAGTTCATTTCTTTGATGATTTCTTGAAAGATGCTATCCAGGTACTCTTTTTGATTATGGCATTCAGGTAGCCCAATAATTCTGATATTGTCTGTCCTGTATCTATTTTCTAGGTTAGTTGTTTTACCAATGAGTTTTTCTGTTTTACATTTTCTTCTATTTTTCTTTGTTTGAATTTGTTTGATTGATTTTTGGTGTCTCACAGAGTCATTAGCTTCGACTCGCCCAATTCTAACTTTTAAAGAGTTGTTTTTCTCAGTTAGTTTTCATACTTCCTTTTCCATTTGGCCAATTGTACTTTTTAAAGAGTTGTTTTCTTCAGTAGATTTTTGGATCTCCTTTTCCATTTGGCCAATTCTACTTTTTAAGCAGTTGTTTTCTTTTTCTAACCTGTTGACTCTTTTTTCATAATTCTCATGCATCACTCTCATTTCTTTTCCCAATTTTCTTCTACCTCTCTTATATGATTTTAAGCTCCTTTTTGAGTTCTTCCATGAGTTCTTTCGGGGCTTGAGACCACTTTACATTTTTGTTTGGGGTTTTGCCTATAGATGTTTGACATTGTTGTCCTTTTCTGAGTTCATTCTTGATCTTTCCTGTCACCGTAATAACTTTCAGATTCTTTTTCTGACATTTTTTTGCTCATCTTTTTCAACCTTTTCCCTCTCTTTTAAATTTGAGCTCTGCTCCTGGAGTGGAAGGGTACTGTCTCAGGCTTCTTGTGTCAGGGGCTGCAAATGCTGTCATTTACCTGGTGCTCTACTAATGTTGCCCTGAGGCCTACAAGGGACCCTCATGTCTGGTGCTGCACTGAAGGGGTGGGGTGGGGGTTGGCTGGTAGTGCTAGAGGCCATAAATGTCTGTCTTGCTGGTGCTGAGCCAAGGTCCTAGTGCTGGTGTCTTGTGAGTGCTGAGGCTATTGGGGTGTCTCTACATTTTCCCAAGAGTACACCAAAGCACATGGTGGTCTGGCACTGGAAGCTGACTGTTTTCCCAGGGCAATGCTGAAGCAAGGGACAGGAGCTGGTGATGGCCCCTGTTTACCCATTTGCTTAGGCACTGGTAGGGTTGGCTTCTACCTGTTTGCCCCGGACTGTGCTGAAGCATGTGTTGGTTCTCAGAGCTGGAGTCTGCCCATCCCCCTGGCTATGCTGAGGCTTGTGGGGAGTACTGGTTTTGCCATTTGCAAGCTCCACCTTACTGGGGCTCAGGATCTGCGGCTGGTTTGCTGAGATGAAACTTGCTACTGGCCTGCTGGGATGCTTCCTATACTGGACTGGGCATTCCCTTTACACAAGTGAGACAGACATTTCTTTCTGATCTTCCAAGTTTCTTGGGCTAATGTCTTTTTGCTGGTTCTGCTGTTCCAGGATTTGTTTTGAAGAGCTATTTTATGGTTGTTTGGATGTGCATATGGGAGAGTTATGGCAACTTGCTGCTTACTCTGCCATCTTGGCTTCTGGCCAGCTCTTTTTTTGTTAAAGGCTATTCCTCCCTTTCACAGAGGGATGTTGTCCTTGGCCTGGGTTATGATTCCTCCTTCCCGTGATCACATTTGCCCCAGGAACAAAACTGCTGTTTATAGCTCTCCCTAAAACCAAAGGACTATTTTACCATGTTGTTAACAAAGAGATCCAACATTGGTAGAACAGCCACACTTTTTATGAATGATTTCACTCTCCAACTTGCCTCAACCCAATGGATTGTTCATATCACAGGCCTCAAGGATGCTAGACCAAGAGAATTGTGGTGCTGTGGAAAGTGGTCAGAGGTCAGTGTAGTCAGAGGACTTGGGCTCAAATTCTAAATCTTCCATTGTTTAGCTGTTTTACCTTATGCAGCTAAGGTCATTTAACTTCTCTGTTTCAGTTTCCTCTTCAGGAAAATGTAAGTAGTAGTAGTAGAAGGAGGAGGAGCAGCAGCAGCAGTAGCAGTAGTAGTAATATACATAACCTCTTTATATGATAATATTCTTGAATATTGTCTATTATTCAATCATTCAACAAGCATTTATTAAGTGCCTACTATATTCCAGGCACTGCGCTAAGTGCTAGAGGCACAAACACTACACACAAATGCAATAATCTCTGTCCTTAAGCACTTACATTCTGTTGGAGAAGTCCATATTTACATACAAAATTATTAACATTTAGGGGGATCAGGAAAAGGTTTTCACATACAAAGTCCTCCTTGAATTGAGTCTAGAAGAAAGAGAGGGATTCTAAAAGGCAGGAGTGAGGAGACAGTGCCTTCCAGGCATGGATCATGGCAAATAAAGTGCCATGTGTTGTGTGATGATTTGAGGGAATTCCAATGTTCATTTTTCTCCATTGTCTTCCCAACAGGTCCTGTGTCACAGACATGTGTGAGTGTCCAGTCCATAAAAACTGCTATTGTGAATCCTTCCTGGCATATGCCCGGGCTTGCCAAAGAGAAGGGGCCAAAGTTCACTGGAAGCCGGAGCAGAACTGTGCAGGTGAGGAAGGAAGCTTGAACCCCTCAGAGGATAATTCAGGCAACCACAACTGTCACAGCACATTCCTGGCAGAAAAAAGGGACAAATGGTTGAGATCAATAAGTCAAGCGATGGCCCACTTGTTCTGTAATTTGAGAAAACAGGAAGCTGTCGCTGAGCAAGCCATCAGCCACTTAAGAAGAGGTGTTTGTTGACTATCTGATTTTACCAGATTTTCAGGGTTATCATCGTTCAGAGTTTCTTCCAACACAAAGAAACAGAATGATAATATAGAAAGAAGGCTGGATTTGGAATCAAACAGTCTGGGTTTGCTTCCTTGTTCTGCCACTTATATCTGTGTGACCTTGGGCAAGTCATTTAACCTCTGTAGGACTGAGTGTCCTCATGTGGTTGGACTAAAAGGTCCCTTGGGCTCTTCTCAGATCTAGAAATCAGCTACAGATTCAAAGCCTCAGTTGCATTTCAAGTTGTGTATAGAGCAAGGGAGAGATGCAGTAAGCATTAGAATCATGGGATATATTAACAAGACATTTACATAGTGCTTTAAGGTTAGCAAAGCACTTTATGACATCTCCCTTTGAGCCTTATAATAGCCTCTGAGGCAGGTACTGCAAGTATTATGTCCATTTTACATGTGAGGAAATTGAGCCTCAGAAAGAGCAAAGGACTTGTCCAGTGTCACACAGTTAATAAATGTCGGAGGCAGAGTTTGGTGCTGGGTCTCCCTGAATCCGTGTCCAGTACTCTCTGCTGTGCCATGCTGCTGCCACATTACTGGGCTGACTCACCTCTCTCTTTCCATTTCTCCAACTAGTCACTTATTGACTGAAATACCAGGACTTGTCAGACATGCATGACTCTTTCATCCAGTGAGTGATTTTGCATCTCTCAGGACAGATTTGGTCTTTATATAACCTACAAGCAGTGAGTGTCACTGGAATTCTCACCAGATAACAGCCTCTGTGACCACAAGGGGTAGCTTCTGACTGATCTTGGGTTTGCGCTTCCCACCCTTTCAGAACACATGTTCAACTTGGGCCTCCTTTACTCACCTCCAGATCCCTACTTCATGAGGCTGGCTCCAAAACTCTAAAAAGATTTTAGTAAGGGAAAAGCAATGTGGCTTTTCCTGGGATTCTCTAGCAACCATTTCCCAAAGCATAGATGAAGCTAAGGGACTCAGGACTCAGCAAATGAGTCCAGAGGGATTTAAGAAAGCTAACATGATGAATTATAGCAGAGTGGCAGATGGATAAATAGTCAAATACATTGCCAGATGCATAGGTTATGCCTGGGCATTCATTTGAGGTTCACCTACAATACTGGAACCTTTAAGAATTACTCAGGGGTAGCTAGGTGGCATAGTGGATAGAGCTCTGGCTTTGGAGTCAGGAGGACCTGAGTTTAAATCTGGTCTCAGATACTTGACACTTACTAGCTGTGTGACCCTAGGCAAGTCACTTAACTCCAATTGCCTCACCAAAAAGCAAAACAAACAAACAAACAAACAACAAACCCAAAGCCAAAACCAAACCTACCCATTGCTTATCATACTTGAAGCCTTTGAATTGGGACAATGCTCAAGAACATGTAAGGCAGTGAATGACAATTCACTGGGGGCCAAGACCTTGGAAAACTCTTGGTGAGAAGCAGGGTTAAGAAATGCAAAGTGAAAAAAGGGTTGTCCAAGAGGCTGGTCTGGCTTATATGACTCACATGACCATTGTCACTTTTGGAAGTTCTCTGAAGAACTAATATTCAATTATCAGTGAGAGATTGTTAGACTTCATTCATCATTGAACAGATGAGGAGATTGAGGCCCAGATTTTCCTAAGGTCCCATAGTTCATAAGTGGTTTAGGCAGGATTTGATCCCCAGTCTTCTTGACTACAAAATGAGGGCTTTATCCATTATATCATGTGTGTGAATTGTATCTTGAGACACATTGTATACCTCCATACATTTACAAGCCTATGTGCTATGAACCCAAACTTGGCCTTCATTTATTCAGTCATTCAACAGTCATTTAATAAATGCCTATGTATCAGGCCCTGTGCTTGGTGCTAGGAATATAGAGATAAAAATGAAATGTTTGCTGACCTCAGGAGACTGACATTCTATTGGGGGAAACAACCCATCCCCTTTTTCTACTATGCTGTGCTGCTGCCTCTAATATTTCTACTAACAGTACTTACGGACCACCCTGTTAATAATTAGCACATTTTAAGCCTTTTTTTGTTGGGTAGTCATTTTCAGTTATGACTGACTCTTTATGATCCCTTTTTTGGGTTTTCTTGGCAAAGATACTAGAGTGATTTGCCATTTCTTTCTCCAGCTCATTTTATAGATATGAAACTGAGGCAAAAAATGTTAAGTGACTTGCCCAGGGTCACATAGCTGTCTGAGCCTGGATTTTAATTCAGGTCTTTCTGACTCCGGGCTGTCACTCTATCCACTCACCATCTAGCTGCCCTTCATTTTAAGCCTAAGGGACAATATAATGGCCCACTTGGTTCCCTCATCTTTGGCTTTAGGGAGTTCATTGTAGATGCAAAATTCTGTGTTCAGTCACCCTTGCTCTGAGCCCCCAGTTAGGGAAATTGCTAGCACCTAGGCAGAAATAGATTTTGCTATGTAACCTTGTATTTATAGCTGTTTCTAATTAATTCCTGGCCTCTTTGTGTGTGGAGCAAAATTTAGATTACTGGAAATGTTTGATTATAAATGGGCATTGGGAGGGGAAGTTGAGAAAAGAGCTGACCTTTTGTTGGGAGTTGCCTCTGTTTAGGTCTGCTCTGAGATGCCTGCAGGGCCAAATGATTCTCCTGGACATGAAAGGTAATAGACAAGTGAACTCTGATGAGAATGCCCCAAACTGCCACTATTCTCAGACCATGGACAGCTCTCTCCTTTGCATTAAGAAGCTTAGTTCCGGAACTGCACATGGAACACCTCTATTGGCTTCTGGTTAGAGCACTCAGGGGCCACAAAGGAGGCACATTCTTATCCAACTCAGCCAGCCTCTGCACCAATTCCCTCCTTCTGTTGCTCCTACAATTGCTAGGATCAAGAATTTAATCCCTGAGCAACTTCCAGACCCTTTGTTCCAGTGATTTTTCCATTATTAACCAAGCCCAGTTTCCCCTTGCCAAGCTTAGTGCCCGTGTTAAAGTTTAGCAGGCTGTACTTTCATTTCCTATTCTGCATTGCCTAGCCAAGGGGAAGTAGGGACAGGCTGCATTACAGCAGGGATGGTGTGTTCTGATGAGTAAGAGCTGTATAGAATTACTCTCGGGGCTGCCGTTTACTCTTTGGGCCCATGGGGCTGCTCACAGGCTAAGTTCAGAAAGAAATAATCACCCTTGTATTTTCAGATCCTCCTGCCTTTTCCTCCCTCACCTTTCAACTCAATTCAATTAAAGAAGCATTAAGTGCCTACTGTGTGCCAGGTGCTGCCCTTGGCACTGGGGATTTACAGACAGAAGTTAAATAGTCCCTGCTTTGAAGGGCTTTACATTCTACTGAGTTGGCATTTTATTCAATCATGAAACATTTACTAGTCACCTACTATGTGCTGGGCACTGTGCTGGACACTGGAGATGCAAAGACCAAAACAGTCCCTGTATTCAAAAGGCTTATGTTTACTGAGAGAATACAACAGATTTTTGACTCATCTGCCTAGTATGTTCAATTTTATTTAGAGAAAGAGACCTGGGAGTCACTCAGCTGTTTTCTCTGTCTCTCCCTGTCTTGTCTCTCCAGCATTCTCTCCCTCCTCTCTCATCAACAAGGTAATTTTGAGTATTTTCAGGATCGTAAATGGATAACTGATTGTCAATGCAAAGAGACCCATGAATATTGTAAAAGTGGAAGAAGTCAATTGCCCAGTGTCACAAACAGCTGTAAAAATATCAGCCTGGTTAGTGAAGGCTGCTTTTAATCTAGGGATTTCATTCTATTGGCATTAGAATGCACAATATTTTCTCCAGCTAATTCTATGTGTATGGAAATGACAAGGACTGTGTGACCTTGTTTACCCAAGCCCCACCTCTTCTGATTCTGTTTTCTCTACTGCTCCAGCCCATTTCAGCATATTTATACACAGAAAACATACACACACACACACATATACATGCATATATATATATGGAGAGAGAGAGAGAGAGAGAGAGAGAGAGAGAGAGAGAGAGAGAGAGAGAGAGAGAGAGAGAGAGAAATACATGGTAGATGGGTTTGTAAGGTATAAACTACATGAAAGGATAATGGCTTTGTGCATGTAAGTTTATAAAGTCCCATCTGTGCTACTTCCTGTGACCTTGGGCAAGTCACTGAAGTCCTCAGTTTCTGTATCTGTAAAATAAGGGAGCTGGATTAGATGACCTCTGTGATCTGAACTTCCTCTAAATCTATGATGTTATAAATTAATTCTGAGCCTGTTTCCTCATATGCAAAAGGAGGAGGCTGAATTTGACATTCACTAAGATTTCTCTCTTAATTTCTGAGCATCTGAGTACTAGCCTAGCTATGTCTATAGAGGCTCATCCCAAGAGATGGCTAGCCAAAGATGGATTTTGGTGTCCCTGGGGACTCAGGAAATGGTCTACTGAACTATGAAGGGGTTGTGAACCTTTGAGAACTCAAGATCACCTTGACGTTCCAATGAGAAATTGGAGTAGGGCATTAGTGGAAGATGCACAGCAGTGCTAAAAACAGAAATTAGAGTTCTATCTAGAAAAAAATGGGGTCATACTGCTAAGTAACCCTTATGAAACTGATTTTACTCAGATGTTTTTGCAAATACTTTCCCAACATTCTATGAGTCAAGCAGGCAGTTTGCTTATAAGAAATGAGAATTTATTTCAGAAGATAATTGAGTACTCTTTGGGTAACGAAACCACTTTTCTCGTCTGATTTTTTATAGAGTGACAGTTACTTGAGTAGCCTTCACAGAATCTCATTTTACAGTTCTGATCCCCTTCCTGTTAATTGACTTAAGCCAGAAAGGGCATGTTCTGTAACTGCTCCAAATTTATGATTTGGGAGATGAAAACCAAAGCGAGCTAGCTTGAACACCAGCCATTGTCTTCCAGTTCTCCAATTACACAGTATTTAGCCATGTATGCTGTTGTTGCCAGCTGAATCACAAATGTGAAGGGTTGAGCTGAGGTTTCTGTTCCATTGCTTGGAGTTCAGAGCTTTGAAAATTATGATATTTTGTGGGCCTTGGTCTGCTCTTTCTTGATGTACCTCTGGACACCTCTCACACACCTTAGTCAATAGTCTTCACAAAGATCTGGGACGAATAAATTCATCACTTAATGTCCACCCATCTGGAGATGAGCTTCACTCTTGCACTGTAGTCCCAAAGTCAGCTTTTGGACCTTTCCAGGGAAGTAAGATCTGCTAGAACTTGTGTTCTTTTGTCAGTCATTCAAGAGGAATTTATTAAGCACTTACTGTGTGAGAGGCACAGTGCTGAGCACTGGAGATACAAAGAAAGACAAAAACATGGTTCCTGCCCTCGAGGAGCTAACAGTCTAATGGTGGAGACAAGCTGCAAATAAATAACCAGACATATGCATAAATACAGACACATCTTGAAATCAAGAAGACCAGAGAGCAAATTTAAGCTCAGCACCCACTAGCTGTGTTACCCTAGGTGACTCACGTAATTGTTTGCCTCAGTTTCCTTGTCTGTAAAATGGGAATAATAGCACTGAACTCCCAGGGCTGTTGTGAGGATTCAATGAGATAATAATTGTAAAGTGCTTATCACAGTGTCTGGCACTGAGTAAATGCTATATGAATATTAGCTAGAATTGGGTACTGCGCACACACACACACACACACACACACACACAAACATATGTAGTATAAATGGGAGATGGTCTCAGAAGGAAGTCACTAGTAGTTTGGGGGGTTGGAAAGAAAGGTCTCCTCTATAATATGGGATTTCAGCTGATTCTTGAAGGAAGCAAAATAAATGAGGAGGTAGAGGTGGGGGAAGAGAGGACATTCCAGGAAGAGGAGAGAGCCAGTGTAAGATGGAGATAGAGTATAGCAAAGTCAGTGTTGCTGCATCATTGGGTTGCAGAGCACGTGGAGGAGAAGAAAGTATAAGAAAGGTAGGAAGAGACCAGGTTGGAGAGGGCTCTCAATACCAGATTATTCCATATTTGATCCTGGAGGTGGAGGAACCTAAGGTCACCTGTAGCATCATTGCTTCTATCTGAGGTGACCTGGAAGGAAGTGCTTTGCTAATATGCGTGCCAGTAGGACAATGAATGTTTTTTCCATCTCCATCACTATCCTCCCGAGCACTTCACCATAGTATGGAGGTGACCCTGGGCTCTTGGAGACAACACTGGTGGAAGCCAAGCTCTGTCAGATCCTACTGAGCTGGAAGGGCACAGGGTCAGGGCCCAGTGTCAGACTGGGCTTCTGCTATGTAAGCAGCAGACTGACTGTCTTCAAAAAGTGTCTCACTGAATTGGTCTCAAAGGATGAATTTTGCAGCTATGGAAAGTCTTCAGAACCCTCTGCTAAGTCATGGACAAGTTGAGTTCCCCATCAGTGTAGGGGGCTCCCACACCACAAGAATCCCACATCATTGACATTTTCAGAATCTGTGTCAAATACTGCTTAAAAAGGAGGGCAGTACTTTTTGACACTTATTGGGATAATAATCCTGTCTTCACCTTGTCTATATTTTGTATCTGCTTGGTAGCTGGGATCAGATGGCCCTTTAAGATTTGCAAGGAGACTGGGTTAGCTTATATGATGCTTACAATGAGCTCTGTGAAGTAGGTGCAATCATTATACCCATTTTATAGATGAGAAAACTGAGGGCAAAAGCTTCAATGACTTGCCCATTATCACATAGCTAGTAAGTATTTGAGGGGAGATATGAACTCAGGTCTTCCTGACTTCAAGTCCAGCACTCTTTATCTACCCCCTCTTTACATCATCTTTCTGCCTCTACTTATGATGGTCACAGGGACTGTTTCCTTTTTATTTTTTTTGTATTCCTAGTGCCTAGCATGATGTGAATGTTGATTGATTGGTTACATAGATCTTTCTAGATGCTCAGCATATGTCTTAGAGCAGTCAGGGACCTGACAAAGTCTTTGTTGTTATTCAGTTATTTCAGTCACATCTGACTCTGTGACCACATTTGGGGATTTTCTTGGCAGAGACACTGGAGTGGTTTGTCATTTCCTTCTCTAGTTCATTTTTAGATGAGGAAACTGAGAACAGGGTTAAGTGACTTGCCCAGGGTCACACAGTAAGTGCTTAGGCCAGATTTGAACTCAGATCTTCCTGGCCCCAGGCCTGGCACTCTAGCCACTGTGCCCTCAGCTTGCAAAAATTTACTATGCTGAAAAATCACGTGGTCCTTTTTGATGTCCAGCCAATATTCATTAAAACATAAGAGAGGGATTTTACTCTCACAAATATTGTTGAAGGCGAGGACTATCCCATTCCCCTAGCCTCATGAAATTATTTTTTATTTACTTTGTATAAGTAAAAAAAAAAGTTCTCTCCACATAGAGACAGAGGATGGTACAGTGATAGAGCACTGGCCTTCGTGAGAGGAAGACCTGAGTTCAAATCTGACCTTGAACACTTCCTAACTGTGTGACCCTGGTCAAGTCAGCCACTGGTAATCTCAGTTTTCTCACTTGTAAAATAGGAATGCAAACCCTCATACCCATATTTGCTTGCTTTTTGTCCTCTGTTTACTTATCCATGGAAATGTCCTATCTCTCCAAGAAGACTGTAACCTCCTTAGAAGGGGATTTTGTTTGTGTTTGTTTCACCTTGACATTTCCCAGTGAATTACACAGGCAGCATAGGACGGTGTCTTTCCACTCTCCTCTGGCTCTGGAGACAGATGACCAAGGGTTCAAATCCTGCCCTTGCTTCTTACTTTCTGTATAAGCTTGCAGAAGTCCCTTCACCTTGTTGAGCCTCAGTTTTCTAATCTGTCAAATGAAGGGTTTGGACTGGATGGCTTCTGAGGTCCCCTTCCCACTGTGGATCTAGGGTCCTCATGTTGGCATTTAAAAGGCTCTTGTTGGGTTGCATTGAGGTGTACTCCCTGCCTCCCTTGTGTGGGAATTATGTGCTCCTTTTTATAGAGGGCTATGTCCATGTCAATGAAATCATGCTGAGTCCATTTGAAATTGGAATGTATAAGTGGTTGTTGAGACAAGAAGCAGTTTGCCAACCCTATCAATGTGGGTTATGATTGTCATTCTGAACTATGGCAGACATGCAAGCTTGAGGACTGCCTTATCATATAAAGCATACAAATTGGAAGTCATAGTAAGTGAGAATGCTTGTAAGTGAAATGAATTTCAGGGGATGCCCTTGAGCCCAAAGAAATGAGTGTCTTGTTTCTACGAGTGGGACTTCCCAAAGCCCATGCTCTGTCCCCTTTCATATCTTTCAGCCACCCAGTGCAAACATGGCGCCGTATATGACACCTGTGGGCCCGGATGCATCAAGACATGCGACAACTGGAATGAGATCGGCCCCTGCAACAAGCCATGTGTGGCAGGCTGCCACTGTCCCGCCAACTTGGTTCATCACAAAGGAAGATGCATCAAACCAGTCCTCTGTCCCCAGCGGTGACCTTTGTTCAGGGCCAAAGACTTGGAAAGCCGGTGTCCTTGACACCTACACTGAACAGCCAATGAAGGACTATAGGTTTTAAATGCATATTCTGCAAAAAACACATCCAGAGTACATATGTGTAAATATACATATATGTACACATCTGTACATATACATATGTATGTGTGTATGTATAGATGTGTATATATACAGATTCAAAAACATACAACATTTATGTAAACCATAGAAGGAAGAATTACTATATGTATATTTTTTGCTATAAGACATGTATTATTTCTAGGATTCTCATCTGTAAGCCATGGCAGTTATTGTATAAATAAACCCAATGTTTCTAATTTGATCAGGTGGCATGGCAGCCTTCTGGATGGCTTTCCCATTGCATAAACCTCAAGGAAGTTTTTTTAAGAGCCCTGGTGTTCCACTGAATTCATTTTGATCCTGAATCAGGATTTGTGGTTGGATGGAAAACATGTGTCCCTGGAGGAGGAGGATTTATCTGTGGGCAAGAAAGGAATATGTACTTGTGAAAGCTGGCCAGGGGATTGGTGATGGGAATGAAAATGGATGGACAGCTGGGTCTTTGGAGCCATATAGTTGATGGTGTTTCCAAGATTGACTGGCCAGATGCCAGGATGGCGATATTTGTCAGTGGAGCTAAACCAAAGAGCCAAATAGTTTCTTGATTTAAGGATTCCTTTTTATTGTATTTTTATGGAAGTCTGCCCCTCTTACACATGGGCATGCACACGCGCACACACACACACACACACACACACACACACACACACACGGCATCTCAACAGCCTTAGTTTAGCTTTAATAGCTTATCACCACCCCAAGACTTTTGGATATTCTATAGAGGCAGCGTGGTAGAGTAGATAGAGATGTGGCATGACAGCCTGGAAGACAGTTTAAATTCCTATTTCTGACAAATATGGGCTGTGACTCTGGACAAGTCATGTGATCTCTCAGTGCCCCAACTATAAATCACAGCCAAATGGCTGATCTGCATTGGCCATCCAGGAGATCTCTGTGCCAGTGAAATCACAGGTACAGGCTCAATTATGATATCAATCTGCTAATCACCAAGCATGTATTAAACACCTACTGTGTGCCAGGCATTGTGCTAAATGTTGGGACACAAAGTACAAAAACAGTCCTTGCCTTCTAAGTGCTTACACTCTAGTGAAGAGACAATATATATAGATCAGAAAATGCAAGCTAAATACGGAGTATCTAGATGGAAGGTAACTTGAGCTGGCCTGGCACTAGCATCTGCGGAGGACCAGGAAAAGCTTCCTGGGGGTGGTGGCCCTTGAGATGAATCTTAAAGGGATTCTAAGAATCAGAGCTTGGGGGGAGAGCATTTCAGGCATGGAGAATGGCCAGTGCAAAGGCCTAAAGATGAGAGATAAGATGTCGTGTGTAAGAAATAGCCAGCAAGCTGGTTTGACTGGATTGTAGAGTGAGTGGATGGAATGGATGGAAGAAAATTGGAAAAGGTGGGAAAGGGCTAGCCTCTGTGAAGAGCCTAAGTGACAAGTGAAGGACTTTATATAGGTAACATTATAGACGTGGAATTTATTGGAAAGAAATCCAGAGTCCATTTATTCCAAACCAAACTTGAGCAAGCATCTCCTCTACCACTTCTTAAATCAATGGTTATGTACCCTCCGTTTGAATTGAGGGGAACCCACTACCTCCTGAAGAAGTTCATTATGCATTTGGATGATTCTAATTATGAACTGGTTTCCTCCTACACTTACTTCTTCCTTGTCCTGTCTCTGGAGCCCAACAGAGTAAGTTTAATCCCTTTCCAAAATGGAGACAACTCTTATGTCCCCACTAATCTTTGGGCGGATATCCTCAGTACCTTTGACGATCTTTGGAACGGCATGATTTCCAGTTCTCTCCCCAGCCTGATCACCCACTTCTCTTTGTCGAACGCTATCATCCGTGTATAGTATTAATTAAAGCTTGCCTCTCTGCTGAAGTCCTCCTCCGATGTTTTGCTGCGCTTTGGTTGTGAATCTGGTTCCCAAAGCCTAGGCCAGGGGAGCATAACCTCTGGCCCATCGCACTCCCATTAGAATGTGAGCTCCCAGTGCAGACGGGTGAGGTTTGGCCCTTTCTTTGGATGCGCAGTGCTTAGCATAGTGTTTAATAAGGGAAGGGCTTATTGATGCTTGGTGAGCTGAGGAGTGACTCCACAGAAGTGAAGCCACTTTTCCTACAGGTAGTGAGTGACAAAGGTAGGACCTGATTCCATATCATAGGATCATAGAGCCAGACCTCAGAGGCCCTTTAGAGGTGATCTAATTGAACTCTTAATTTTTATAGATGAGGAAAAGAAGGCTGGAGAAAAGGAGGGATTGCCTGTCATCACACAAATAGTAAGCACCAAGAGAGAGATTTGGTTCATAGAGATGGCCCCTGAAAGGACCACAGAGGTCACTTAGCCCAACTGCACTGCCCCCGACCCCACCTCCCTACACACATACTTAAATTTGAGCAAATGAGGTTCAGAAAGTTAAAGACTTCCCCAAGGTCACAAAGCACCAGCAGTGGGATTTAAATCCCAGCCGCCTGATTCTGGCCCCAGCATATTTTCTGCGATCCCTTGGACCGCACTATTCTTGGTGTCCTGTACATGTAAGCCTGTTGTCCCAAGACCAGCCTAGCTAATTTTGGACTCGCCATCAACATGGCCAGAGGGTGATACCTCTTTCTGCCCCCAGGAACCCTCAGAATCTCATCTCCCAAACCATGGAAGGGTGGCAACCTATTTCAATGGTACCCATACCAACGAGATCACAGACTCTTCAAGTGCTGGAGTAATGACAGTTGATTGGTTTTTGGGCTGAAATGCTCATTTTTATTAATGCCTGAGAATAGACAAATAGCAGGCTATAATCCTAGGGGAGATGGTGAGGGGCGAGAACGTCCCTTTCATGAATGTTACCCATTTCATAAATAATACTCTTGCATCTCAGTGAAATACAAGTATAGAAATTCAAGAGAACTGGGCAATTCCAGATAAACTGTGGCTTTATTTCCATCCTGAAAGTCAATGGTTTAATGTGTTTTCAACAGACTCAAAGATAATGGGTCTATTTGGTATCTCTCAATATGTCCTAGTAAGAAAGGAAGAAAGCTTATAATGATCAGGTAATTCTCCCTTTTCAGACAGAGAATAGCCTAAAGATACATGCATTTCTACGGCATTTCTAGCCTCAAGGCAATTTTCCTTACTCTTTGTTTTTCAAATAACATATCGAATATGATTTCTGAAAATGTCAACAAGTCAAAACTCACTGCTGTAGAGAAATTCAATGTCCTGTATCATTGTGAATGAAAGGGCTTGTTATTTAAAACACCGTGTTTTTCCCTGACGTTGGTCCTGGGCTGTACTTTATACTAGGCCGGACCTGATTCTGGTGCTCTGAGTAATCCAACAAAGATTTTTATACAGGGCTTCCCATTGTTTCATTGGTCCAAATAAACTAAGCCTTTTTTTTTTAATTCCCAGCACTGAGCACAGTGCCTGGCACTTAGTAAGCATCTAACAGATGTTTTTTTGATTGATTGATTTAGTAAGTGATGATAACAAAATGCAACATTTGTGGTCTGGGTGAACTCATTTCTAGATTATCTGTCGCTTTGCTAAAAGGATCATTTTGGTCTTTTCTGTTGGTATAGCAGTGCAAATACTAGATGATGTATAGACCTGTACTAGATGATGGTGGAAGTCTTGTCCATTTTGAGGTCTTTTTATAGGCATGGCAGCCATCTCTTACAGCCCTTTACTGGGTGCTGGGGATATAAATACTAGGAGGAGCTTACATTATTGTAGGAGAGGAGACCCCAAATTCACACACATAAATAAATACAGGACAATTTTTGAAGGAGAGTGCACTAACCACAGGTGAGGACTCAGAAAGACAATCCTTGGAAATGGCCTCTGAACTAAGCCTGGGAGGAAGCTAAGGATTTTCAGAGGCAGAGATGAGGAGAGAGGGCAGCTGGGCCTTTGGTTACCCAGATTAATTTCCTTTCACATGAACGTTCTGAAATGGGATCCTCCTTTCTCCCAGGTCCCTTCCAATCTTGACCTTCTGTGGCTCTCTTGGTGGCGATGACCAGAACTACAGTTATGGTAAACCATGAAAGAGGCAACTTTGTGATGGCTGTAAGGGGATGTTCTCACCTAGAGATGTCATATTAAGTCTAACTATGGTATTATATGGAGAAAGGTCCTGAAGTTAAATTCAGAGCAGATGAATTCCTGCTCTGTCAAGTGTTACCTTTGTGACTCTGGGCAAGTCTCCTATTCTCTGAATCTCAGTTTCCTTCTCTGTAAAATCTGAAGGGTTGGAATAGATTACCTTTGAGATCCTTTCCAATTTTCTCTGTAATTTTATTATTCAGTGTCTGGTCGTTCATCCAATAAGAATTTATTAAACATTGACTATGTCTGAGGTGCTGTGCTGTGGGTTAAAACAAATATCCTATTTACCTGCATGACCATGGCCAAGTCAATCTCTCTGGGCCTGTTTCCTCATATGTGAAATGAGAATATTGTAATAAATAGATGAGATCTGAAGTCCCTTTCAGGTCTAAATCTGATCCTATAGTGAAAGGAATAACGCCGCTGCCCTTGAGGAGCTTATGTTATACTGGAAAATTTCAAGCCAGAGGCAAGAGTAGGATACTCAATATAGTCAGGAGATCTGACCTCCCTGTCACATGTAACTGTAGAACCCTGAACAAACCGCTGGTTTTCTCTGGCCCTCGGCTTATAAATCTGTAAAAACCAAGGAGGGGGCTTTAGAACTTTAGAAATATTACCTCCTCTGATTCTCATAACAACCATAAGAAGTAGCTAGATGCTATTATCATCCCCATTTTGCAGATGGGGAAACTGAGACAGACAGAGCTGAAGACCTGGTAAATATCTGAGGCAGGATGCAGCCTCAGGACTTTGTGATTTTAGGCATGGTGTGCCATTCACCATACTGCCTACCTGCATGAAATGAGGGGATTGGGCCTCTAGATGCATACCCATTTGTTCCCGTTCATCCGTGCCCTGGCTTGCTAATGTCAGTGATTAGAAGTCCTCCATTCATGGTATGGAAAACCATCTGCAGGAAAATAATCCATCGTGAGTAGCAGTGACATCTTAGGGAGGCTTAAAAAGGAATTGTGGTCAAAATAAGATTGGTTTCAGGGCCTTTTAAAAGCGCTGACTTGAAGGCAATCTAAAAGGAGTAAAATCATGTTCTCCTGACTCTCTTGCCTTCTAAAAGCCTGAAGCCATCTCTGTGGAAACCCCTTGGGTGAGGTGGACCTTTACATGGTTTCATGTGACTCTTTGGGATTCACCAGTTAGATTGGAGAGGAATCGGGTCATATATTTAGAGATTTGAGAATTTCAGAGAGGTCATTTGGCCCAACCCCCTCATTTTACAGAAGAGGAAACTGAGGCATAATGAGAAGTGATATATTCATATGGTCATAACTTTAAAGTTGGAAGAGGCCTCAGAGATAAACTAGTACAACCTCTTTACTTTACAGAAACTGAGGCTCAGAGGAGTAAGTGACTTAGGATCACAGATTGAAAGTGCGGAACCTTAGGGGCATTGCAGTCCAACCCCAACGTTTTCTAGATGATGGACATTATATCAAATCGAATAAAAAAAATTCAATAAATACCTCACACTGAGTACTGGATAATAAGTTCTCTGAGGACAGGAACTGTTATCATTTTAATGTGTTAACTTCCAATTCAAATCAACAAGCAGATAGTAATAGTAATGAACTCTTCTATAATGCCTTAAAGCTGGCAAAGTATTTTAAATACGTTACATTATTTGAGCTTTGTAACAACCCTGTAAGGTTGGCTTAGGGCCATGTCATCATTATTCCCATTTTACAGACAGAGAAACTGAGGAGATTAATAATGTGCCCAGGTCAACTGGGTGGTAAGTGCCAGGCAAGCTTTGAATTCAGATTCTCCTGACTCCAAGGCCATCTCACTGACCACTATGTTAAGCTGCCTCTGTTAAGTGCTTACTCTGGAATAAAAACAGAATGTCAGATGAATATGAAAAATACATCCTGCCCTCAGGCTTCTTTTACTCTAGTGTATACCCTGCAGTGCTTTGCACCAATATTATTGAATTGATGGTCTATAAAGTAGCTCCTGTCCCAAAAAAGGGAGAAAATGGGCTCAAATTCATTCACTGATTTTCCCACCTTTGTCACATCCATGAACTGTTTTGATTGGAAACTTTTCTTTACTATAATCAACCAACTGACTGAAGAGGCTTTGCCAGAGGCTTCCATATGTGAAACCAATTCCATTCCTCTGCCTTTTCTAGGAACGAGCTTTTCCATTTACAGAGGCCCCAAATTTGATTCATCTCCAAATGATTTTACCAGAGAAAAGTATAGTCAGAGAGGGGGCTGGGTTCAAATCTTACCACTGATGTTAATTACATGTGTAACACTTGACAAATCACTTAGTCTCCCTGGCCCTGAGTTTTCTCCTCTGTAAAAATGGAGACTTCGACTAAATGACCACTGAGGTCTCTTCCAGTCTAGACCTAAGCTCCTACAAGCCTCTGACCTCTCTAAGTAGCAATTACCTTATCCACAAAATGGGGGTATTGGACAAGAGAGCTCATCTGAGGCCCTTCTCAGACTCAAGATCTCCAGGACACATCTGAATAAAAGTGACATTTTGGACCTTCGGCTTTTCTGAGTCAATGACTCTGGAGAAGGCTTCAGGAAGTGGAATGGGACATGCGTCCTCACACTTTCCTCCCCTAGGTGATGCTCTCTTGATCGTGGGATCAACCCTTGGACCAGACCCCCAAGCATTATGTCTAAGGCAGGACTAGAAATGTTTTTCTGCCTTTAATTTATTTAACAATGGAACCCTCAAGTGCTCTTTGCATCTGAAGCAATGGGCACAGAGCCATCCCCAATTTG